AGAAAACACAGGAAATGGGGAGAAAGGAAGGGTAGTGTCAAGTTCCTCATATTTCCCATCTTAGTAAGGGTTAGGGTAGTGAAAAGTTCCTCTAATTTCCCGTTAACACTGATAACAATATGATAATCAGCCATTTCGCAAAACGCCAGTAAGTCTCTCGTTTGGGAACACCTCGAAGTCCATATACTTATGTTCTGTTATGTTATGTTATGTTATGTTATTATTCACCGATCGTGAATGGATGAGGGATTTCATCTACTAAGTTAGAGGAGATTGATTTAAACTTTCAATTTAAATTGTGGCCGTCTTCATTGTTCTAGCAATCACGTACTCAAGTTGTCTGATGGAATAGATCAACCAGGAGAGGTACGTGGAGAGCTTGCGCTTGCTCTACTCGTGGGTTGGATCGTTGTTTACTTCTGTGTATGGAAAGGAGTTAAATCAGTTGGAAAGGTATTTTTTAATAATCATTACCTTTATCAGTGTTATGAATATGATCCTTTGCGTTCAGACCCGGGCTCTAAAAATGACATATTCAAAGTTATTTATGCTGCTATTATTATTTCAAAATCAATCATGGTGGAATTGGCGTCTGACAACTAAGTTCTTAATCTATTTAAACTAAACTAAGGAAATTCACTTCAGCAACCAAAATATCATTTTCACTTGTTAATCTTGCAAAGTGCCATTCAGCTACGTTTTGTTTCAGTTGACACATTATGTGGTGGGACATTAGGAGGGGGGTAAATCTGACGATATGCCCCAACCATAAAGTGGTCTGCCAATGAATAACTCTTAACATTTCTGGGTTGATATTCGTAGCATTGACTTTAAACTTCCAGTATACCCAATTCGGCTTATACTCTTACTATGATGACTATTTATTCTTGTGCACAAATTTTTTTCCCATTTTCGAGAAGCATAACCATAACAGGTAAATAATTCTTTTTCACAAAACACTTACTGATGTTCCTTATGCAGGTTGTGTACTTTACAGCGCTGTTTCCCTACGTAGTTTTGTTCATTCTTCTCATACGAGGTGCTACTTTGGAGGGGGCTGGCGATGGAGTCCTGTTCTATTTGAATCCTGATTTCTCCAGACTAAAGGATCCAAAGGTGAGAATTTGCGCTCATTGTCTTAACTTATGAGGTTCTCGAGTTTACTTGGTAGATAGACATTGCCTCATCTTTTGCTCTGCTGCTCTCTGGGGAAAAATATGCAGTTTTCAAGCAAACAAGGACTACAACGGTGATGAAAACGCCGGCCATGACTACAGTATTATACTAGATATGTATGTATGTTACATATTCAGTGAGGGACAAATTTGACATTGTAACAAAATTCAAACAAATTGATGCGATCGTAAGATGTTCTAAGAAAGTGCTGTGTAGTCCTTGCCAGTTCCTGACTAGTTTAAGTAAAAACGTCGCTAAAAATGTGTACTACATGCAATAAGAACCATTAATTAACTGTTCCAATGCTTTCGAAGTATCACGTCTATAATAATATCCTTAGGTGTGGGTGCAAGCCGCCGGTCAGATATTTTATTCACTCAGTATCGGCATGGGAGGACTTCTCACCTACAGCAGTTTTAACAAGTTTAATAACAATTGCGAAAGGTAACAGAAGACGTAGCCTTAAAAGCAAAAATGATTTCTGACTTACTCTGATCTCGACTCACAAATTAAAGGACAAATATATGTAAAAGACTAAGCCAACATACCTCTTGCTTCCTTGTATTTAAAGCTTAGTGATATATAGAATCATTCAATTCTCATTTTTCATTCTTGAAGACCTGAAACCTTTTTCCTCTGGTGACCAAGAGCCCTGGAGCCCTTTTGGAAGCCTAAACAACCCCCCCCCCCCCCCCCAACAAGATCCTGATTTCACCCCTGTGTAAGAAACAATCTCCAGCAGCATGAAGTTCATGATCAGTATCCTCAATTGCTACTTCCCTCTTCGAGAGCAATGAAGACATTTGTGTTTGCTTACTCCTGCTTGAAAACTCATTCTTAAAACAGTATCCAAACTCATCTTTCAGAGACAGCGTGGTGGTGTCACTTATCAATTGCCTGACCAGCTTTTTCGCTGGGTTTACCGTCTTCACCATGATGGGGTTCATGGCACACTTACTGAAAACTGAAGTTGGAAATGCAGTTAAAGGAGGTAATGGTCTTTCACCCTTTAACTCCCCGAAGGGATTTAAATGAAACTTCTCCTTATAATATCCATACATTATCCAGAAAACAGGTAATGAGCATACTCAAACTTATCAGGTAGAAGTTGTTATCCTGATCTAACACCAATTTCTCGTAACTAATTAACAAGGAAATGTGAAGCAGCTAGATGGGAGAATTGACAATCAGATCTTGAGTTAAGGGTTAAGCCACAGTATTATTTAACTCAACTAGTAATTTTAGCCTGTCTGTTGATGAAATCGATGTAGCCAACTTTGTCTTTTTTTCCCTCAACATTTAAGGCGCAAACGGACGGGAAGCTCCTCAATTTTAGAACAAATATATCTGATTCCTATCTAGAGCTCCTGCCCTACCGACGGATTCACTAAGAGACACTTTGTTTGTTGATATGTAAAATGTATTTAGTGATATTCAGTTATACAAGTTCTATCTTCTGCCTCTATATGGGTTCGATCGTTTCAGTGAGTTTCTGAGCTATGCAAACATGGGTTGCACCCCCCTTGTAGGTGATATACTTAAGAGATAGCTCACCTGGAACCTCCTGTTAACTGCCGGACTTTACTGTACTTTTAGGGGAAAAGAGAATAGAATAAAGTATAAATGACATGCGAGCTCTCCAACCATCTTTTTCGATCTGTGCGAAGTAGTAAAAAAATTATGTATTTTGTTTTCTTTTCAGGGCCAGGTCTGGTGTTTATGGCGTTTCCTGAAGGAATCAAACAGCTTCCAGTGTCTCAACTCTGGGCATTTCTCTTTTTCTTTATGTTGTTTAATCTTGGACTTGACAGCCAGGTTAGTATGTAAAACCATTTCGATCCAATTCTTCCCTGGCGCAAATCATTTTATATAACGCCTTCATGCTCGGCAGATTAAATGACGAGTCTACTTGAGAATAATGACAATAATAATAATAATAATAATAATAATAACAATACCTTAATTTAGACGCGATAAATTTTAGAGCTGAACAGCTTGTGGGGTCGTGTGTAAATCCAAATAAACTCTAAATTAAATAAATTCAAATGATGATGGTTTTTGGAGGAGAGGGGAAAACCGGAGTACCCGGAGAAAAACCTCTGTAGAGAACCAACAAACTCAATCCACTTATGATGCCGAGTTCCGGGAATCGAACCCGGGACACATTGGTGGAAGGCGAGCGCTCTCACCACTACGCCAACCCTGCTCCCTGAAATTGCTTTAAATTTTTCGGTAACTTTAACCCTACCTCTCATGCACCACTGAGCCTACATTAGATTATTAATTAATCATTCAATCCCCCAGATCTGAGTAGATACTCTCTCTTCTAGGTTATTTATGTCTTTATTCATTCCATTTAAGTTTGTTGGCGTGGAAACTTGTACCACAGTTATTCTGGACTGGTCACCGCGCTTCCGTAAATACAAGTCTCTTATTTCCCTTGGCTTGTGTATCATCTGTTACATCCTTGGGCTTGCTCATGTTACACAGGTAATCCATACTGAAGAGTGGCTGTTTAACTAACGGTTCCTAACCGTAAATAAGTACATACAATGGAAAAATACCAGAAGCTTTGAAGGAATTCCATAAATAAACAGTATTTGCTCATGATTATTTTGTGAACTTAATTTTTTATTTGCGGCGAAAAATCATTCGAGGCATTTTTAATTAGCCTTTTTTTCCAATCTACCTCCTCCTAGAAAGTCATGGCACTTAATGACTTTCTCTGAGGAAAGTAAAATGCTATTTTCCTTCATTTTAAGCGATGATTGCCCCATATTTATACGCATCATCCTTTTTATCTTTATTTTTTTGTAGGGTGGATTGTACGTGTTCGAGATGTTTGACATCCAGAGTGGAGGAATCTCATTGGTTCTTATTGCGCTTCTTGAAACAGTCGCTATTGGATGGGTGTACGGTAAGGAAAACAAATTTACAATCTGCAGGAAAAGGTACATACAACGGAAAGAATACCAGAAACTTTGAATGAATTCCATAACTAAACAGTATTTGCTCATAACTCTTTTGTGAACTTAATTTTTTATTTGCAGCGAAAAATCAGTCTAGGCACTTTTAATTAGCCTTTTTTTTCCAATCTACCACCTCCTAGAAAGTCATGGCACTTAATGACTTTCTCTGAGGAAAATAAAATGCTGTTTTCCTAATACTTTTCCAGCTTCTCACTCACCTGTTCTTATTTGAAACAGGCACTGAAAAATTCTGCAACAACATCGAGAGCATGGTAGGGCATCGACCAAACATCTATTTCAGATGGTGCTGGAAGTTTATCTCACCTGTCATTATTCTGGTAAGGGATCGTTTCATAACCGTCGGCAAGTTTCTTACCGTACATTCTTGCCATGATACATAACCTCTCCAAGGAACTCTTATTAACCCGAATCTCAGACAGGTATAATGCAAGCTTTTGAAGAGACTAACTCTTCGATGAACATAGCGGAATGGTGAAGTGAACGCTTGTTTTTCAGAAGAATATCCGAGTGTGGCATGTGAAAAATAATGTCAGCTTTCCCGTGTATGAATTAAAAGACGTAACAAGTATTATTCGTCAGTTGACATCCGTCAATCTAGCTAAAACCACACTATGTCATAACTCAATACTTAACCTACAGCATTCAGTATGTTACAATTCTTCCGTACCACCAGGTCATATTTGTCTGGCAGTGCGTGGAATGGTCTGGACTGTCACTTGGTGATTACAAATATCCCGTCTGGTCTGAATTCGTGGGATGGGGCCTTTGCCTCTCTTCTGTTCTTTGCGTTCCCGGTTACGCCTTATACAGGCTGCTGACTGATGACAAATCGCTCCCACTTAAACAGGTAAGACGATCATCTGATTAATTTTTTATCAATGCTGTAATCGGTAGGTTGTAAACTTTTTCATTGAACATTACCGAAACAGCGTTATGCGCAGAAAAAACCCGCAGAGGTATAAGTACCTATAAAATAACCCCTGGCACTTTTAAAATTCGACAACGGGAGTGCAGCGCC